TTCCTGCTGCTATCTGGAATCTACATTTGTTCTTGCCTGGCTTTGTTTCAGGACCGCTTAGTGGAGTAACGAATGATTGCTGAAAGCACCAAGCGTCTAAGTTTTTAAGGAGCCCTGGTGTTGACTTGCTGCAGATTCCTGTCATTACAACATGAGTCAGTCGTGGAAGTAAGTACCTGTTAACAGAAACCAGCAAAAATGAGTCAACGTCCCTTCCCTCTTATAACTTGCTAACTTCCACTCTTTTGGGCCGTGTGATGTCATCGGTTCGCTATTTTGCCAGTCATCAGAGTTTTGTGGGCAAGACCGAACTTGAAGTTGTACAGTTAAAAAAACAAGCCAAAAAAATCCCTTTCATGGTGGGAAATACTTTATCCTCCATAAAGAAGCAAAAAAAGGACAGAAGCCCTCCTTTTTAACATCTTTGCAGGTCATGCTCAGCTTGCTACCAGCCAGGGCTAAAGCGAACAAGCAAGCTGTTCCTCTGGAGTCAGATGTGCTTGGTACTGAATGATGTCATTTTTGCAAAGAGGCAGAACATCAGATTTTATTGCTGGCCCTGTCAATTAGGGATTACCTGTCTGCCTCGTCCCTACCTAGCAGTGCTAATTAATGCTTCTGCTCAGCAGTAGGGAAGGTGGGAGTGGCATGTGCTTCCCAGAGATTGTCAGAAATGGCAGGGTGTGTGCTGTGAAATAGCTCCAGAGACGTTAATGAGGGAGCCGAGCAAATGGGTTTGTCCTGGAGCGTGGTGCCAGGAGAGGAGCCGGCTGATCTCCGATATTCTGGGCAGGGAAAGCCAGCCCCAGCTCTCCGGCCAGGGGTCAATGTGCACCTTCATCCTGGTCACTAAAGCAATGAGCTGTGACCATCGAGGTGAAGTCGGACCCCCGTCTCATTAGGAGCAGCAGGGCAAGGGCTGAGTGCAGAATTTGGGTGATGGAGAGGAGGAGCGAGCCTGCTGGTACAGTCCCAGGAGACCACAACCCTTTCCAGCCTGCCAGTCCGGTTTCCAAGACTGAAGCCTTTGGTTAGTCATGTTAACTACAGGAAGGGAACAAAGATACCACAAAGAGAAACCTTACTCAGCTTGCTCTATAGACCCATTGATCCAGACCGTCCCTTGAAGTTTAAAGAGTCCTCTGATCTTGCAAGCCCTTTCTCTTTACATCCAGCTCTCAGGAGAAGGGAGAGGTACTTCAAAGAGCAGTGCTGCTTTAGCTGCGCGGATGTTTTTTCAGGACGTAGGAGTTGGATCACTCTGTTTCAACTAGAAATGAGACTGTTGCGTCAGAGAGCCTGAATCTGCTGTTGCAGCGAGTAGAAGTTAATTGACTGGGGCTTGTCATTTAATGTCTCCCAGCAAGATCCCATGTGCATTTTGTACATGTTTTTCCCTGGCTCTAATTGCTTCCCCACCTATCGGGTCCACGTTCGGTAGTTACCGGAGATTTCTAATAGCAACGACAAAGTTTTCTTTGCCCAATTTCCAAGGGGACTTGTCGAATTAGCATCTTGAAAGATCCCAAAGACAGCAGGCAGCGCAAAGGGCAGAAACCTATTGTGCAGAGGATTCCCCTAGCCCGAGTATGGATTGGAAGTGGCTGCAGCAGGTTACCCACAAATAAGTGGTATAATTTTTCTCATTTTTCTGTTTCTTTTAAGAAGTTTGGGATGAAACCATGGTACCAGACAGCTGTCAAACGGACGAGCGTGCGAAGCGGTTCTTCCCCCAGAGCGTGCGCTCACCCCTCTGTGTAGTTCTGTGTCTGCAGCAAACTCGGTCTGATCTTGGGGGAAACCTGGTCCTGACTGTCTCTTTTTCAATGCCTTAGTGGAAGGGCACGAGGGTCAGAGAGACGGGCGGTTCCAGAGTCGTCTCGAGTGGGAGGGAAAGGCTTGCACCAGGTATCAGAAATGGCTCGGCCTCTCTGACAGGTGCAGGGGAGCATGCATTTAGCAGCGTCTTTGTGGAGAGGATGGGTGCTGCCCTGGAAGTGAGCTGTGTCAGGAACACCCTTCACCACCCGGACCAGGAAGGTAGACTTAGTCAGTCTGGATTTTTCCTGGCCTAGGAAAACTCCCATTCATGTGAGAAGCAGCAGCAGTGGGTTTGCAGACTGTTTCTTCTAGTCATTTCAGGCAGTATCTTCTGAAAAAAATCCATCTGGTGCTGTTACATTTGCAAAACGTGCAGTTTGTTGTATTTTAAATGCATTTCCTTTTCTGCTAGAAAGGCACTGCACTTCTCCGTCCATGCGCCAGCACAGGCGTCGGGTCCAGATGGAGTAGTCGAGGCTGAATCTTTTTCTCTCCGTTTCCTTGCGTCTAACACCAGCTGAGTAGCGCTGATTCGCTCCGCAGGCAGCTATAGACTAAGGAATATTTTACGAGAGGGCATAGACACACTACATCCTGGAGAGCTCTTCTCCTCCTCTTCCTCCTTCATGCTATGCTATATCCGTCCCTTCTGCCCTTTCACCTTCCTGCGGGTTGCAGCTTCATCTAGCTTCGCTGTGAGTTACCACTTCCTTCCTATATTGCTTCAAGATTTTTCTTCTTATGCCACAGAGCGTTTATGTTTGAGTTCCCTGTTTGCCATTTTGTGTGGTGGTTTTGGTTTTTTAAACCTCTTACTTTCTGCATATTTATTCTCAATAGGAAATACTAGTCTTGTTGCTTTCATTCCATCTTGGGGCATTTATACGTGACTTGCTCTGTATTTCTACTAGGGTTTTTTTGTTTGAAGCATCAGCAGGTATAAAGCCTGCTGCTGAACATTACAGCCCTTGTTGAAATCTAGCTGTAACCCTTCTCCTCCTGGTGTTGTCCCATACAGTACTCCAGCGGGGGCCAAACTTTTTTGGCAGGTGTGCTCCAAATGAGCCCTGCATCCTCCTCGAGTGCCACGTCTCCTTCCCTTGCCCGATCTGCTGCTCTGCTGACTGCTCCTTGCCCTTTTTGACACCGGACTGTCTGTTCTGTCCTCGGCCTGCAGCATGCCACCACGCAGACTGGCCGTGCCACTTGTGACATGCGTGCTGCAGACCGGCCACCCCTGCAGCACTCATGTGGCCCGTGTCGGCCCAAGTCATGGCCTGGGCAATCATTAGACTCGCGGGCTAGGAGAACTAGAGCCCAGCGCTTGTTAGATATTACACCAGAGAGCTAGTACATGCAAACGGACCATTTCAATGGAGCGGAGTAAAAGAGGAGCTCACCTTAAAATAAGGGAAATGTTCCGTCATGAAATTGTAAATCTCGCTGACCGGCAGGCTCCCCGTCTTGCTGTTCTTGAGTGCCATGAAGATCAGGATGCTTTGGGGATAAAAGGAGAGAAAGAAGGCGTTCTTGATGGCTAGTCTCACGTTAGTTGGCTTTATGTGGTTTTTCAGAAACAGAGAAAAAGCATTTTTCAGCACACGCAATCCCTCTCTGGCTTTCACTGCCATAAGATGAACCCTTTGCAGGGTGATTGCAGGGGTTACCATCGCATTGCATGCACGGGACCTGCCTTCAGTGCAGCTATATCGGGGTAAATCTGTAGCACAAAAGTGCAGTTGTACAGACGTCCATGCCATAATCCAGGATAAATCCTAAAAACATTTCCCCGGTAAGAAGCAGTAATGCTTTATCCTGGGATATGCAGTGCACAGCTGTACAGATATCCTGGGGCCACATCACTGAATCGATGACGGAAAAGCAGCAGTTCATTCAGCCGTTTGCTAAACCCTGATTAGACGGGCGATGTGTGTACACGCCAGTCCTGGGATCCACGCAGGGACAAATGCAACGTCTGTCCCTAGCTGCAGTCTGAAACCTGAGGTTTCACCGCGCTGTTTTACTCTGTGCGGACAACACTGATGCCCTTGGGTTTAGTATTACTGAAGAAGGAGCAGACAAAGGGCATTCACATTTCTACAGGGAAACCTTGTTTGTACTTGTTCACAAAGACCATGATACATAACTTATGGTTTTACTTATACGCGCAGGTGTATAATTT